GTGTGGTGGCGGCGTTCCGTCCTCCTCCTATCATTCTTTCCTGCCTTGGGTTGTCCGTGTTCTTTCTGTGTTTTTTCTAAGCCTTTCCACAGCCCTCGCGCATCTGTCGCCGTGGTTTCTCAGCCCTGGCCGTCAGACAAGCCACACGACTCAGACCCCCCCACCTAGAGATCCCGTCCTCTCGGCGGGGTCGCAGCTGCCTCTGGAAGGCACCGAGATGTACCTTTTTCGCGCAATGGTCAAAATCAAGGTTTTGTAACGCGAGCTGTGCCACAGTGAAATGGAACTAGCCATGGGTGCATCGGCTGCGGACTCAACAGGTCGTATAGGCCGCTGCTGGATCTCACAGACGGCGTGCTGCTGGGGGCGGGCCCGAGACGGCTGGAAAAGAGCCGAGTGAAGTGGCGAGCCAAAGGCTGCCTGGGTTGTCAAGTGGTGGTCCATGGCCACTCTGAGCAGGGCTGTGCTTTGGTGGGGCTGTGCTTGATCATGTGTGAAGTAGGAGTCCGTTGCCGGCGCTGCCTGAGGGTAAAACAGGCGTGAAATAGCCTCGTGTGAGGTGTTATGCCCGGTGTGAGCTTGGGGACCCGAGATAAGCGCGGCTCGGGACAGCTCGGGCTTGGTGCTGATGGGCCTGGGCCAGGAGAGCGGCAGGGAAGGCGAGGTGGTGAGCTGACAGGCTGGGGAGTTGGCACGTGTGCGTGGGTCGCAGTGAGCTGCCAAAAAGCGTTGTTTGCGGCTATTGCTCAAAACTTCGGGAGACAAGGCCTACATATTATGACTGCACCCATTGCCCTGGTGCATGAGGGCTGCGGGACGAGACATATCACGGTCGATGGCGCCGATAACGACCTCCGGAAAGCCCTCACAATCGCTCGGCAAGGGGCTCTGGGGGGAGGCGAGGGCCCTAGGGGGTACCCATGCGGGGGGAGATGGGGTCCCCCAGCCCGCCGCAGGCGCCGATTTTTTTGGCATGTTTTCTTTTTTCGCGCGATTTTTTACTTGTTTTCATGGGAATTCGGCGTACTGCGGCCATGCTATCACGCCTTGCGACATCCTTTCGGCGCTGCTGACCGTGCCATGCTGCTCAACTGACCGCCTGCATAGCTCGCGGCCTTAGTCTTCGGCATTCAGTGACGACCTGATCGTACGGCCAGTAGGAAGGTGTCCTTCCAGCGCGTGCACGCTTCTGACGCAATGCGCGTCACAAACTGCCTCGGATTGGCTGCTGGCACTCTCGAGGCTATGCCTACACAGCCTCGCGCGCATGGGCAGTCAAGAGGGACCATGCACCTTCTCAGGACAGCGCCGGTGCCTCTCTCTTGGACCGGCAAACGTGGTGGTCTCGTGTCACCGATGTGGGACCAGTGCGGCATCGCGCCATCGACAGCTCTGAACTGCGCCTCACCACTGACCGGGAAGGCCGCCAAGTGGGTCAGCACCGGTCGCACATTGTGGCAGCAGTCAGCAGCGCATGTCTGATAGCTAGAGCAGCAGCGTCAGGGTCGCAGGGTCGGATCGTGTCAAGCCTCTCGCCCGGCCGGCCGTGTGCAGACGTCGGCCTGTCTGCTGTCTGGAGTGATCTGTCGGCGGTCAGTACGACCGATCAGGTCGGAGTTTTCTTATGATTAGAGGGTCTATCTGTATGTACTCCTCGAGATCTCTCCAAATCTGCCCTCTGTTAGACCAGGTTAGATCGGAAAGTCGGTGCTAACGGAGACTAACGGAGCCGGAGCCCCGTTTCCGCACTGCTGCGCGGCGCACGGTGCCTCCGGGGGCCCCCGCCTCCCCCCAGAGCAAGGGGTCCACCGGGACAATCTCGAGGCCTCTTCGTGGCATCACGAGCCGGTGTGAGCTTGGGGACCCGATATAAGTGCAGTTTGGGACAGCTCGGGCCTGCTACCGATGGGCCTGGGCCAGGAGAGCGGCAGGGAAGGCGAGGTGGTGCGCTGGGAGGCTGGAGAGTCCGCGTGCTGGCTGTGAGTGTGGCATGCCATAGCCCGAATCGTATCGGAAGGGCTCGGCCGATGGGGCGCCGTCGTAAAAGTAGCCCGCCGGCGCTCCTTGCGGCGCAACCGTGCCGGGCGGAACCTCTGCCCAGTGCTGGTTCGCGTACGGCTGGGCCGCCATGCCGGACGAGTATTGATACACCGGCACGGGCTCGCCTTGCCCTTGCGCGAACTGGTACATCGGGCTCGCCTTGCCCTTGTCAGAGAGTTACTCGTAAATCCATCCAGATGTGTTCACAACCCCGGGCCCGATGTGTTCACGAACCCACGGATCCACAACTTGGAAGATATGCAATGCATATTTCGGGGACAGGCTGCCGCCGGCCTTCCTCGCTCGCTGTGACAGCGTCAACTTCAGAGTAAACGAAATTTAGCTACCCACCACCTTGTTCAGGAACGTTGCGTGACACCGACGTCCAGCCGATTGGTTGTCTCGGTCAAGGCGGACTCGCACGAACATGATGTTCCTGTCGCTCCTCTCTGCTGGCCTGCCTCTCCCGCTCGACGACCAAACGCCGCCGCCGCAAGTGCCGCTCCCGATTGACGACCTCACCTTCAAGCCGCTTAGCACGACCGGCTTCGTGCCCTACTTCAACTACGACGGCGCGCTCGCCGAGGTGAGCGGCACCGTCGGCCTGATCACCTCGGACGACGCCGGCGTCGCGTCTCAGACCTTCACGTTCATGCTCTCGGGCGCGGACTCGCGGTGCAAGGACGGTGCCGGCGACGCACACAACTCGTGCGGTCTCCACATCCACCAAGGTGGCTCGTGCAAAGAGGACGCGCTCGGCCACTTCTTCAACGCGTCGCGAAGCGACGGCTCCTTCGACCCGTGGGCGAGCGGGCCGGCGCCGATCGTCTACAAGACGACGGACGACTTCACCTTTGGCGAGTTCACCGTTCTGACGGGCCTCCCTGCGCACCAGATTGACGGAAGGACGTTCGTTGTGCACGATTTCGAGGGGAGGCGGATCGCCTGCTCGCGGATCGCAGGCCCGGCCGACGAGCAAGGTGGGCAACGCCGCCTCCAGCTGGCGGAGCCGCCCGAGGAGAAGAAGAAGGGCCACTTCTTGGGGGTCCTGGCTGGCGCTGCAGCAGGTGCCCTCGCCGGTCACTTGGCCAGCCAACAGGGCAACTCCCCACACTACGGGAGCTACCCTCAGCAGTACTACCCCCAGCAGCCGTACGGCAATCCTCAGCAGCAGTACGGTTACCCTCAGCAGCATTACGGTGGCTACGGTTACCCTCAGCAGCATTATGGTGGCTACGGTTACCCTCAGCAGCAGTGGCACTCCTGGATCCAAGGCAGGCTCGGCCAGAGCTGCACGTCGGTGTGCCGCGAGCGTCGCTTGACCTGCGACATCCGGGTACTGGACGAGTTCGCGCGCACGGGCAGCTACACAAGTTTCAACGTCAACTCGCTCAGCGCCCTGACGCGGCAGTGCCGCGCCGTCAATTACTACCCGGCTTGGCTCCACAGCCCGGCAATCTGCAACTCGCCCGCTTGCGGGTCCACCTGGCGATACAACAGCTTCGGTGGGTGCTCGATTGGCCGTGGCGGGTCCAGGAGCTGCAACGCCTTCCACACAGCTTTCTCCCGCTTCTGCCCGTGCGCTTGACGCTTGCGCGTCCGTGTCTGGGAGCGCGCGAGTGGAATCTTGGGAGCGTGGTGGGCCTTGCGCCGTCACGCACGCCTCGCCTCACGCCTGCGGCCTGGTCCTGGGCAATGTTGAATATGTTGACGTTCGTTCTGATTGTGACCTGGCGCGGCTGTTTAATTCTGTTTCAAGTAGAAATACAACACGCTACGAGCCGCGTTCGCTTAGTTGGGCGCTAGCGGAGGGCGAGACGATCGAGGGGTCCCGTGCCATGCCGCATGCGGAATCGACCCGATCCCAGTGCAACAGTGCAACAGTTGGGCGCTCGCCACGAGCCTGGCCCGAAAGAAAGAAAGAAAACACACAACCCAAGGGAGCCTGGCCCGGCGCGCTCTCGAGGCGCCTCGGCGATTTTTTTGCGAGGCTCTCCGCTTGCACTCCGCCGGGGCATTCACGGCCATGACACCCGGCTGCTCAGCCCCCATCCTCTCCGCGCTGGCTGTCCCTCCTGCCACCACGGCTGAGGGGCTGCGCGCCGCGCAGAAGGACGAGTTCCACGGCAACGAGTTCTCCCTGCTCGTATCGCACGCGCTCTCGCCGGCCCGCAGTGGGTGCAGAAGCACCGCGAGGAGGTCCGGGCGGCGGCGCGCCTCGCCTACGGCGGCCTCTCGACGGCGCGCCTCGCGCAGACGCCGGGCGAGGAGTACTGCGACATCACGTGCGTAGACGCGGCCACCGGCCAGCCGCTGCCGCTCCGCCGCCGCTGGATCGCCGTCTTGCTTGGGGCGCTGACGCCGTACCTTGCTCTCCGCCTCGAGGCGCGGCTCGTCTCCGCGGCCCGCTCCTCCGAGTCGCCCCTCGCCGCCGCCCTCGCCGCGCGGCTCGGCTCGTTCGGCGAGGCGCTCCGCCGGCTGCAGCTCGCTCTCTTTTGTCTCGGCCGCGCTCCCCGTCGGCTGGTCGACGCGCCGCTCGGCATCGCGCACGTGCGGCACGGCGCGCGGGCCGGGTCGGCCTCGTCGCCGTACCGCTCCCTCGGCCTGCTCATGCTCTGCCAGCTCGCCCTCTCCTCCCTCGCCCTGCTCGCCGAGCTCCGCGCCGCCGCCTCCGCCCGCAGCCGCCTCCGCGCAATCGCGTCTGCCGGCGAGCGGCGAGGGCGGGCTGCCTGCCGCCTGCCGCCGCTCCCCTCCTCAGCGTGGCCGCCCGCGCGCGCAGGAGAGGCGGACAAGGAGCGGAGAGCTGCCCCTCCGCCGCCCGCCGCCGCCGCCGAGTCTGCTCGCCGGCGCACGGCTCCGCTCTGCTCGCTGTGCCTCTCTCCGCGCCGCCAGCCGACCGCGGGCGCGTGCGGCCACATCTTTTGCTGGGAGTGCTTCCACGCTTGGGCGCGGCCGCACCGCCGCCGCCACCGCCGCCCCGAAGACACGCGTCCACGCCCCCAAATCCTCTGCCGCCGCAGGTGTCCGAGAAGCCAGAGTGCCCGCTCTGCCGCGAGGCGCTGCAGCCGCAGGCGCTACGTTGCCTGCACGGAATGACTTCCTGCACGGATCTTTTTTTCAGGCTTGATTTCAAATAAAGCAGAACCGACACGACGCCGGTGTGACTGTGAGCGCGGTGTGGCGAGTTCGCGTCACCACTCGCGCCCCACGCGCAGCGCGCTCGGAACCTCACTCCTCACGGTGACACGAAACCTCGCCTCAGAGCTCAGTCTCACTTTCAGTCCACGCTGCCGCACGCCCACGCCTCGATCTTCTTGGGCAGCAGCTGGTTTGACAGGTCCTCTCCGTGGCCTAGGCAGGCGTCTTCCCCCTTGCCCCAGGCAAAGACAGCGCCGTTGCCGGTGATGGCGAGGCTGTGGTTGCTTCCAGCCGACACAGCGACGACGCGCTGCCCAGCAAAGGCCTCGACCTTCTTAGGCAGCAGCTGCATCGCCTCGTCGCCGTGGCCCAAGCAGCATCCTCCGCGGCCCCAGCTCCAGACATCGCCGTCGGCGGTGACGGCGAAACTGTGCCGCTCTCCAGCGGACACAGCGACGACGCGCCGGCCAGCCAACGCCTCGACCTTCTTGGGCAGCAGCTGGCTCTGCCCAAGAAGTTGCTGCCCAAGAAGGTAGGCTCCCCAGCCCCAGCTCCACACGCCTCCATCGGCGGTGATGGCGAGGCCATGGTGCTCTCCAGCCGAGACAGCAACGACGCGCTGGCCAGCCAAGGCCCCAACCTTCTTTGGCAGCAGCTGGCGCTCGCTGTCGCCGTGGCCCAACCGGCCTTGGTATCCACCGCCCCAGCTCCAGGCGGCGCCGTCGGCGGTGATGGCGATGCTGTGGTCGTGTCCCGCCGAGACAGCGACCACGCATCGACCCGCCAAGGCCTCGATCTTCTTCGGCAGCAGCTGGTTCGGCTCGTCGCCGTGGCCCAACTGGCCATTGTAACCAAGGCCCCAGCTCCAGACGGCGCTGTCGGCAGTGATTGCGAGGCTGTGGTGCAGCCCTGCCGACACAGCGACGACGCGCTGGCCAGCCAAGGCCTCGACCTTCTTCGGCAGCGGCTGGCGCTGCTCGTCGCCGTGGCCCAACCTGCCACAGCCTCCAGCGCCCCAGCTCCAGACAGCGCCGCCGGCGGTGAGAGCGAGGCTGTGCCCGAATCCAGCCGCCACGCTCACGGCGCGCTCACCCACCATTGACGGCTGGCGGGTCGGCGTGTTCAGCCGCATCACTCCCTCGCCGTGACCAAGAATCAAAAACGGTGCAGAGCCGCACGTCGACAGCCGCCCCTCGCCATCGATGAAGACGCTGTGCGTCTTGCCTGCCGCCGCCCTCGCCGGCGGGTTGGACTCGCGCAGCAGCGCAGCGAAGCACAGCCACCGCACGGCGCAGCTCTCGTCCTCGGGCTGCGCCGGCAGCTCGAAGCCGCGCTCTTGCGCCCACAAGCGGATGCCTTGCTCCGCGAGCGAGGCGTGAAAGAGGAGCGAGACGGCCGCGACGCGAGGATGTCGAGGGGGTCGCAGCGAGAGAGGACGCGCTCGAGGAGCTCCGAGGGGAGGTCGAGGAGGCGGGCGGGCGGCGGCGTGTCTAGTGAGGGCGCGGCGGCGGCGGCGGCGGCGGCGAGGCGGCGCGAGCGGCGACGCGAGCTGCGGCGCGCGGCGGGCGGGGCAGACATCGCGAGAAAAAGAATTTCACGGACACCGGCGAGTGTGTGTGTGTGTGTGTGTGTGTGTGTGTGTGTGTGTGTGTGTGTGTGTGTGTGTGTGTGTGTGTGTGTGTGTGTGTGTGTGTGTGTGTGTGTGTGTGTGTGTGTGTGTGTGTGTGTGTGTGTGTGTGAGTGAGTGAGTGTGTGTGTGTGTGTGTGTGTGTGTGTGTGTGTGTGTGTGTGTGTGTGTGTGTGTGTGTGTCACTCACTCACACTCAACATTGGGCGAGCCGAGAGACAGTGTCACTGCGGCGCCGCTGCTCTCTTGTTCTGTCCTCTCCTCTCCAGGACCCGCATGGCGTTGCGCTGCTCGCACGCGCACTGTGCAAAGCTGCTCAGGGGAGGCTCCTGAGCCTGAGCGTTGAGCAGCAGCAGCAAGCACAGCTGCAGGTGTTCGTGGGCTGTGCGGTGGTGAGAGAGCCTGATTGGAGGCGAGCTGACGCTGCGCCTGGGTCGTGCGCAGCATGCTCCCACGCTCTGTGCAGAGAGAGAGAGAGAGAGAGAGAGAGAGAGAGAGAGAGAGAGAGAGAGAGAGAGAGAGAGAGAGAGAGAGAGAGAGAGAGAGAGAGAGAGGGGGGGGGGGGGGGGGAGAGAGAGAGAGATGGGATTGCACAAGTTTTTTGGCGCGCCGCCGCGTTATTTGCCGAAGCGGGGCGGGCGCGGGAGTGGGAGTGGTGGGGCCGATGGCTTCTGGGAGGCTGCCGTCGCCCGCGCCTCGTCGTGTGAATCGTGCAGCGACCGCGTCGTGCTAAAATTCTTTTTCTGCTCAGAAGCCGTCTCGCCCACGCCTTGTCTGTTGTGTGAATCGTGCTGTGCGACCGCCTTAGCTCGTAAAATTCTTTAATCGTGTTTTGGTTTTAACCCGCTGGTTAAAATATATTTTGTCGAGAGCGCTTTCATTTAATAATAAAATTCATTTTTGTTTTCTTTTTCTCGCGCGACCGGAAAATTCTTTTTCTCACCCGGGTGTTGGCGGCGGCCATCCGCGACGGCTAGCACCGCACTCCTCTCTGTGAAAATCCCTGTGTGGTGGCGGCGTGCCGTCCTCCCATCCCTCCCTTGGCGTGTCAGTGTCTGCAGCTAGCTCCTGGAGCGTAGCGTAAGGGCCGGCGGTAGGGCGAAGGAGGGGCCGGGGCCTTTGTATTGCACCTCATGCCAGACCTGTCTGCTCGTGCTGTGAGGTGAGAGAGAGACGGTTGTATCTTGTTTATTCAAATTCTTTTCTTCGCTTTTTCTTTGTTCCCCGCCTTCCTGGCACGGTGATAAGGGAGGGACAGTTTGGGACGGCAACAGAGACAGTGGAGAACCTCGCACACACTCCATGTCGCATGTGCGAGCGGTTCTCGAGGTTGATCATCCTTTGGCCGCGTTGGGTAGCATGTGTGTGAGAACGCAGAAGAGGCGAATGGGCCACCCCCTTATCCGCCCTCTCAGTCTCTCGACTCAACTCCCCTCGGGGGGGGGCCACGCGCCGTCGCCTCGAGCAGCCGTATGCACTCGCCCGCGTCCCTCGCGCTCTCAAACCGCTCGGCGAGCGCCTCGAGGCACGGCCGGTGGTTTTGCAGCATCGTCAGAGCCATCAGCGTGGCCCAGCGAATGCGGTCGTCGACGGCTCGCGCCTCGGTCACCGGCGGAGAGGCGATCGCAAGCATCCCCTTCAGCTGGGCCACGTCGGCGTACCCGCCCTCCGCGCTGCCGCACGCGATCACCTCTGCGGCGACGCCTGCCATCGCCAGGACGGCCAGCCTACGCATTGTGAGTGGTGAGTAAGGAGGCGACAACCACGGCCAGCCCAACGACTGAATACGCCACCATCAGGGCGTGAAGACAGTGCCGTGCCGTGGCTTGGAAGCACCGCATGAGTACGAGGGATCCGAATACAGTGAGTGCAGCCGAGCAAGGCTGAATACGGCGCGACGAGTCCGTGACCGCTCCAGTGCCACAGCTGGAATGCAACGACCCGTGTTCCGCTTCTAGCTCAGCCGGCCCGTCGACCACGTCGTGCGTGCGCGCCTGCGCCTCTGGGCCGGCAAAGGCGACCTGCGCGCCCGCTCCGTCGGCGCTCGCGGCGTTAAACTCGGCCACCTCGAGCCCGAGCAAATGGCCGACCAGGAAGTGGCCCGCCTGCGGGTGGGTTCTGAGAGGGTTCCTGAGGGTTGCGACCAGCCGACCACGAGGCGACCCGCCTTCTCTCCTGTGAGCAGTCGGAAACCTCTCTTCTCCACGCGCACGAGGTGGTGGGGCAAGGGTCAGGCAGCCCTCGCCGCGTCCAGAGACGGGAGCCCCACGGCATACTACAGTGCAAGGCCCGGTGCGGTCGGGGTTGAGCGGTGCCTCGTGGAAGTTTTGTCGGCGGCGGTAGGCGGGGTCCAAGCGGCGCAGCGCGGTCACCGACGCCTGCATGGCCTGGGGGCGGCGAGGGAAGGAGTGAACGGGAGTGAACGGCGACAGGAGAGGTCGAAGGGAGGAGAGAGAGGCAGGGAGGAGGCCTGCGGCACAGCGACGCCGGCGGCGAGGGCGAGAAAGGGTGCGAGCGAGCAGACTGCGCCGAGGGGCAGCTTGGCCACTGGCGGCAGGCTCGACGCCTCGATGACAGAGGAGGTGACGACGCCAGCGACGGCGATGCCGGCGATCAAACCAAAGGTGTCGTCCTGGTCCTTCTGACCGCGCAGCCCAAGCTGCCTCTGCATGTCGTCCTCGGCCTTGAAGAAGAGCTTGAGCTCCCACAGCGCGACGGGCCGTGCACGAGGGCTCACGCTCCCCCAAAGAGAAACCTCTCCGGCGTTTCTGCCGGCGGAGAGCATCGATGCAGTCGGCACGGCCGACGCGGTCCAGACATCGGGTGCGAGAGCGGTAGAGGACGCCGCGGCGGCGCACAGTGAGAGCATATACGCAAGACACACCAGAACCCTGGAGGAGCTCCGCCCGCGCGCGCCTCGCACAACGTACGCTGGACTTGATAAAATAAAAGCGACGAGCTGGGAAAAAGAGCAGAGGTTACGGAAAAGCATGCGCGACGCTACCTCTTTGCACCGCTCGCTCGCGGCTGCGGGAGACATGGCCGCCGATGCGGCTCGCACTCGCTCGGCGGGCCTCCGTCCCACAGCCGCCCGGGCGTGCCACGGGTCTGCCTGGCGCTGCGCTGCTCGCACGCTGCACTGCACAAAGCTGCGACAACAAGGGGAGGCTCCTGAGCTCAAGCGTTGAGCAGTGCAGCTGCGGGCGCTCGTGGGCGGCTGTGCAGTGGTGAGAGTGCCTGATTGGAGGCGAGCTGGTGCTGCGCCAGGGTGCGCAGCATGCGCTCTTGCTCTGTGCTGAGGCATGCTGGTTGGCGCCCAACACAATGCCCTGGATGCATTGCTCCACGCCGTGCTGGCTGGTGCAGTACTGCCAGTGCGCCGACTGGCGCGCAGGGTGCGCGTCGCCGCGCGTGGCACGGGTGGCTCGAGAGGCGCGGCTGTCGTTCAACCCCGCGGCGCATGTGCGCCGCGGAAGCTGCTCGACAGGCTGCGGGCATCGCTGCGGCAGAAAGCGCCCGCCCTCTGCTTTGCTTTCGCCCGCGTTTTACGACAACTTTCGGTTTATCATAGCCGCCGAACTTTACCTCGCTGTTTCTTTATAGGCGTCTCGCAGCTGCGTATTCTCGTATTATCTTCGAGTAGTTGCGTGGGGGCGGTATGTATTCTCGTATCAGTAGTTAGTGTCGTGTCCACTAGCTCCGAGTAGAGGGTGCGTTCTGCAGTTAAGGGGAAACCCGGTACACGGAACCATCCCTCGGAGACCCGTGTTATGGCCCTGCGAACGCGCACCCCCGGGGCTAGGGCTCTCTAGCCCGTAACCCGATCCCGATCATCCGGCCCGCTGGGTGCGCTTCTTAGCTCCCCGGCCCTGGATGTGAGGCTGATAACTGCACTCCAAGTGCTCCAAGTGCTGGGCGTAGGAATCCTACGCGCCGGACACCGGCGAGTAGAGGCCCCGCCCACCCAGGGTACCCTCTCGAGGGACCCATTCGAGGACTCGACGGGGCTCTCTCCGAGAGACCTCGGGAGAGCGTGCGTGTGCCTCTACTCGCCAGGGCGGACACTGGCGACACTCGATAAAATAAAGAATTTAGCGGCCGGGCGGCTCCTGAGCTTGAGCGTTGAGCAGTGCAGCTGCGGGCGCTCGTGGGCGGCTGTGCAGTGGTGAGAGTGCCTGATTGGAGGCGAGCTGGTGCTGCGCCAGGGTGCGCAGCATGCGCTCTTGCTCTGTGCTGAGGCATGCTGGCTGGCGCCCAGTACAACACCCCCAATGCACTGCTCTACGCTGGCTGGTGCAGTACTACCAGTGCGCTGACTGGCGCGCACAGGGTGCGTGTCGCCGCGCGTGGCACGGGTGGCTCGAGAGGCGCGGCTGTCGTTCAACCCCGCGGCGCATGTGCGCCGCGGAAGCTGCTCGACAGGCTGCGGGCATCGCTGCGGCAGAAAGCGCCCGCCCTCTGCTTTGCTTTCGCCCGCGTTTTACGACAACTTTCGGTTTATCATAGCCGCCGAACTTTACCTCGCTGTTTCTTTATAGGCGTCTCGCAGCTGCGTATTCTCGTATTATCTTCGAGTAGTTGCGTGGGGGCGGTATGTATTCTCGTATCAGTAGTTAGTGTCGTGTCCACTAGCTCCGAGTAGAGGGGGCGTCCTTGCAGTTAAGGGGAAACCTGGTACGCGGGTCCAACCCTCGGAGAGTATTCTTTAGCTCCGAGTAGAGGGGCGGCGTTCTGCAGTTAAGGGGAAACCCGGTACACGGAGCCAACCCTTGCCTCGCCGCCCGTCCAGTCCTTCTCCGAGCAGGACGTGACCTTCGGCACGCGCACCTTCGAAGCGATGGATTGGGACGGGCAGTCGCCCTTTGCACCATACAGCCACGGCGGTGACGGGCGGGCGTCGATGCTGGGACCGGCGCTCGTTGTGAGGCCTGGCCAAACGATGCACATCTTTATGAAGAACGACCTCGGCGACGCGATGAAGGAGCTGAACGCCACCGGCCAGACGGTCAACTCCCTCTACAACCGCATCAAGCTCGTGCAGATGAAGCACCCGGGCGGCGAAGTGCAGCCCTTTGCGCCGATGATCAACTACACCGGCCCCGACCTCGACTTCCCCATCTTGCGCGGCAGCAGGGTGGACAAAGAAGATATGGAGATCAACAACGACAATATGGAGGGGTGGGAGACTCACGGGCTCGACGTCTTCAACGCGCGCCGCCTCGGAGAGGCACCTGAAGAGTGGCGAGAGTGCCCTAACCGTGTGCCGCATGCCCGCATTAGGTGCACATGCACGGCCTTGAGGTGGCTCCACACCTATTCGACCCGATGGGGACCTCGAATCCGGCTGCGGATTGGATCGGGATCAAGCCTGACCTCTCCCTCCTCGAGGACCCGCCCGAGGAGTGGGTTGGGAGAAAGGAGCAATGCTATTGCTACAAGTACACCGTGGCGGACACGCAGAGCCCGGGTCTCTTCCTGTACCACACCCACCGGCACGGCACCTCGACGATGCTCACCTGGAGCGGCATGTTCGGCGTCGTGATGGTGGGCGAGCCCTCCGCGACCAAGGCGATGGCCCAGGCCGAGGCAGCGAGCCTCGAGGAGGAGGCGGTGCTCTCGCCCTCGCTCAAGCCTTCGCTCATCCACGATCTTGCCGCAATCTCACGCGACGAGGGGCTCGCCTTTGACGACTCGAACGTGCAGCCCTACGTCATCTACGACACCTCGTGGCGGCTGGCTCGCGTGCCGTGGGACGAGGCGATCCTCAACCAACCCGACCTGCCCGACCGGACCAGCGACCTCACCCGCGACGTCATCTTGACGGACTGGTGGCCCGCTGTTCGATATACTACCTATCTCCACCCCTACCTCGTCAATGGCCAGTTTCTGCCGACCATCCACGCACGCGCGGGAGTGCTGACCCTGCTGCGGCTCGCTTGCGTCTCCGCGTCGAAGCTCTGCTCCTTCCACATTGTCACGTACGAGGAAGGGGCGCCGGGCGAAGCGGGCGCGAGGAGGAAGGCGGTCCCATTCTACCAGGTCGCCTCGGACGGCATCTCGTACAAGTCCCCCCGCTGGCGCGACATCAAGCCCGACCCACAGTATTACTCCGCATGCTGCGGCAAGAGCACGGCCTACGCGGCGGCGACCGATGTGTGCGACGAGTTTGACGCGGCGGAGTCGCCCGACACGTGCGGTATGGAGGCTTACATGACTCTTGGGGGCGGTCAGCGCGAGGATCTGATCGTGCAGTTCCCAAAGGAGGGAATGTACTACGTCGAGCAGTGGTCAGAGGCTTTTGACAACGGCATCAAGCAGTCGCTCGGCACCATCAACGTGACCGATGACTGCGGCTACTGCCCAGACGGCTGCACGCCGCGCGACCTGCGCGACTATACCCTCCACTCGGCGCGCCCCTCCGTGCTCGACGACGACGATCGACCGATCGTGAGAGAGCGCGGCCTCATGTTTATGACCCAGTGCGTCCAGGAGGCCCGCGTGGCGAGCTACTGTGCAAGGCGGGATCCCGTGTGTGCTGTGAACAGGTACGATCAAGGGAAAGGCCCATTCGCCGAGTACGGCATCGCCGACTACAACGGCGCAGTCTACAAGCCGTACGAGATCGATCGCGCTCGCATGGGTCTAGACGGCGGCACCTGCGAGCTGTGGAAAGTGCGGAGCCCAGACACGATCCTGCACCCCTTCCACATCCACGTCAACCCGTTTCAGATTGTTTCGGTCGTCTCGCTCTTTCCGAAGGCGGAGGCGGTCCGAACGTTCCTTAACGACTACACCCCACCCTTCCTCAAGCAAAACCAGCGCGGCACCTGGCGCGACACGGTGCTCGTGCCTCCGTACGGCGTCGTGACGATGAAGCTCTGCTTCGACGCGGGCGTGCCGAGGCCGCATAGGCCGGACACGCCCGCCGTCCCACTAGTGCAGTCCTTCATCGGTAAGTTTGTCTTCCATTGCCACTTCCTCATCCACGAGGACTCGGGGCTGCTCGAGAATGTATTCCTCCGCACGCGCGCCTTTGTCCAGCCCGCCATCGCCAGGCGCGTCAACGAGTCGCGCCTCACGCGTCTGGGCACCGACGGGCGTTGCCCGTGCCTCTCCATCCCGCCCGACGTGGCGGCGTCGATGCGCCCGTCGCTGCGGTCGAGCCTGCCCCCAGGCTACCGGGTCGGCGTCGAATCTGACGATGTCGGAGCTGGCCGCGCGTCTGCGCGCCGGAGGGCACTTTTCGCGTCGCTGGGCCAGCCGTCCCCGCCCCCATCGCCACCCGCGCCGCCACCGGGTTGCGTGGTGCCAGAGGCGGCCCTGATGGCTCGCGTCTCGGTGCACGGGTGCGACAGATCGTGCTGCCTCTTGCTGTGACACTCTTTATGCTCGGCAGAGAGGCCAGAGGCACGAGAGTCGAGAGAGCGGAGTCGCGACAGCGAGGGGGGGGGGGGGGGGGGCGGGGCGGGGGAGGGGGCTGTTTCCGCTTAAAGGTTAGGGTTCTCTAGGAAGGGAGTTGTGTGATGGCTGATGCCTGGTCTGCTACTCTATACGGCTCTTTACTGCTTTTGAACCAGATTATATATATATACTTCTCGCCAGCGAAGAGCCACGACCACACACCTCAACCCAATCTCCTCAACCCAATCCCCCACACACGCCCAGCGCGCCGTCTGATGAGAGCGACGCGCTGGCCGCTGCGGCCTGCGCAGTGCGCGCCTGCCGCCAAGCCCCCAATACCTCTCAATCCGTGTCGTTGCGCCGCAAGAAGTCTCGACGCAAACTAAATCGACATAGCAGCGAACGGCGTGCGGTAGCAATCGAACCGCCCTTACTATCAACCACGACGAACGTGCACGCGCGTAGTCGCATTTAGACGAACTCGTCGGCGTTGGTCTGCCGCGCGTACTTCAAACCCTTGACCCACACCGCACGCGCGCGAGCACGGATAGCGCCAATGACAGCCGCGGCCACAGCGAGCACGACCAAGCCCATCGAAAACGGGCCGAGAACAAGGTGCTTGCGAACCGGCTGGGAAGCTGCGCGCATGGCCGAAGCCTCGGGCGCCGTCGCTGCATCGGGCGCCGCCGCCGCCTGCTGCTGCGGCAGCATGCCCTGCGACAAGCCGCCGAACGCGTTGCCGGTGGCCGCGCCCGACGCCTGGTACGCCTGCCCCTCCTTCTGGAAGTCGAAGTTCGGGTCCGTGAAGAAGCGGAACGCCGTGTCCATGCCTTGCGCGCCGAAGCCGGCGCCGGTCGCGGCGCCCTGCTGCGCAAACGGCATCCAGCCGCCGCGCGGCTTGGCGCCATCGGCCGGCGCAGCCTCGGCCGCAGGCGCAGCCTCGGCGGACTTCTCCCGGCCGAGCGCGCCAAACGCGGACTGGGTCTGGGCGCCCGACGCCTTGTACTTGTCGCCCTCCTTTGCGAAGTCGAAGTTCGGGTCCGTCATGAAGGCCGAGGCGGTGCCGGCGCCCTGCTGCATGAAGCCACCGCCGGTCGAAGCGCCCTGCTGCGCGAAACTCTGCCAGCCCATCTTCTCAGCCGGTGCCGCCGCCGCCTCGGGCGCCGCCGCCGCCGCAGCCGCCTGCTGCTGTGGCAGCATGCCCTGCGACAAGCCGCCGAACGCGTTGCCCGTGGCCGCGCCCGACGCCTGGTACGCCTGCCCCTCCTTCTGGAAGTCGAAGTTCGGGTCCGTGAAGAAGCGGAACGCCGTGTCCATGCCTTGCGCGCCGAAGCCGGCGCCGGTCGCGGCGCCCTGCTGCGCAAACGGCATCCAGCCGCCGCGAGGCTGGGCGCCATCGGCCGCCGGCGCGGCCTCGGCCTTCTCCATCGGCATGCTGCGGTAGCGGCCGCCATTGCCCCACTGTTGTCCACCGTTGCCGCGGTACCCGGGGCGCTCGCCGTAACCATAGTGCTGGTAGCCGCCCTGCTGGCGGTACCCACCGCCGCCGCCGCCACCGCCGCCGCCGCCGCCGCCGCCGTAGCGGTACTCCTGCTGCTCATGCCGCTCCTCCTTGAACTTCTGGTACGCCTTGTAGTCCTCGTACTCTTCCTTCATCTCGTTCTTCTTGTTGTGCAGAATCTCCTTGGCGCCTGCGCCGTCTCCGGTCATCGCCAGCATGCCCGCCTTGAAGATGGCGCCGTCACCCAGCGTGCGCTCGCTAGCCTCAGAGAGGGCGAGGTTGGCGAGGAGAAGCATGGCACAAGCTCTGGGCGCTGACTTGGCCGCTGACCCACGGAGGAGGCCTTGCAAAGGACTAATCGGGCGCGCCATTTGGTGTTTTTTTTTGTTAACTTTTCTTTTTGCAACTCGCCCCTGTTGTCTGCTGTTGGAGTGCTGGGGGGGGCGACAGGGAGGATGTGGCCTGAGTGATGTGTACGCCCACTCAGGATGTGTGGCAGCCCGCTGGCTGCGTGTCTCGTGAGCTTGTTTGTGTCTGTGTGTCGCTCGTGCGTGTCGTCATAATCTGTCCACAACATATCTCTCTCTCTCTGTCCAGCGTCCACCCATACCGCGTTGGTGTCCAGTCCGAGCCTGGCTGTTCTTCACCTTTCTACCTACCTACTGTTGTTGTTTGTTGTTGTTTGTTGTGCCCTTGTTTGTTTCTCTTGGCACCTGGGAGTGCTGGGGGGGGCGACAGGGAGAATGTGGCCCTGAGTTATGTGTACGCCAACTCAGGGTGTGTGGCAGCCAGCTGGCTGTGTGTCTTGTGAGCTTGTTTGTGTCTGTGTGTCGTTCGTGCGTGTCGTCATCATCTGTCTCGCGTCCACCCATACCGCGCTGGTGTCCAGTCCGAGCCTGGCTGTTCTTCACCTTTCTACCTACCTACCTACTCCCTGCTACCGTCCTTCATTCCCTCCCGCGAAAGTGTCTTCTTTCTGTCTTACCCTCGGCCCCAGTGGGGGGCACCCACGCCGCCTAGCTCTGCGGAGGCCCCTCCACCCTTCACGTACGGATCATGTAGTCCCCACAAATCGCTGTCGTGGTGAAGAGAAAGAGAAAGAAAGAAAGAAAAGGGCGAAGAGAACTGTCGTATCCGCTTCTGAACTCCTCACTGCACAGTTGCAGAATGTCCCTTGTAATGTGAGAGAGTGCGTTGTGTTCTTGTTTTGTATCCGCTTTCTCTGTCAGCAACCCAGCGCCCCCCGGTTGGCCTGTCCGAGGGTTTCCTCTCGCACCCTACCTGGTTTCCTTTCCGTGTTTCCTGCTCGTTTCCCTACAACACCCTCTAATCCCAGATTTTGCCCCAGACCAGCTCTCAGACTCAAGAAGAAGAAAGTCCTTTATCAGCTGGTCGCTCTCGCTCGCCTTGTCCGGCGCCGCCGCGCGGCCGGCCACGGCTGCGCCCGGCCTCGTCTCCACGGTCTCAGACGGCCTCATGGCGCCTACTGACGCCGACGAGACGGAGCGCGTCGGATTCGTGCTGCAGAAACTTTCAATCTCGCCGACGCTTTATGAGGCACCGAATCGACCAGAGCCAGCAGCAGAGCACTCCTCGCCTGGCTCGGTCGGGTCAGCGCCCGACTGCGATCGACTGGCCTCCAGTTCGAACCCAGGTGGGCCTGCTGCCGGCCGCGATGGCTCGCCAGAGCTGCCGGGCTTGCCCAGCCTCGCTGGCGCCTTTGGCGAGGCTGGGGTGGCTGCTGGGCATGACGACATCGCAGCAATGACCTCCACGCTGCGGAACATCCGACTGGGGCTCGCACAGGAAGCCGCAGCGACCCGCGTTCAGCGGGCGATGCGCGCGTTCCTGCTGCGCAAGGGCACCATCATCATCACGATCCTCATCACCAAGATACAGGCCGCTGCGCGCGGCCTCAACACTCGCACTTCTCTGAACAACTTCTTCAAGGCCTGCCCGCCCAGCGGGCGCACTGCCGACCTCTTCCTCAGCCGCGTCTACGGTGGCCACGAGGGCGGGCGGCGGCGCGGCGGCGGCTACGTCGTCGATTTCATCTACTGTTTGCGCTCGACCCGTCTTCCTCTCTCTCTTCCGGAAGCGCTGGCCCGATTCCCTCTCGAATTATACAACCCTCACGACACAGTGCGCGACTGCCACGGAACCAACGGGTTCTGCAACCAACACGAGGTCAACGGAGAGCAGCTGAGCCTGCCTCCGCCCTCGTCCCCCTTCACCTCCGGTGAGTCGCCCTGCCCCAGTCGTCCAGAGCACGTCGACCTCTGGCGAGTCAGCCGGTCACTTGATGACGACCTGAAGAGCAAGAAGAAGACAAGGCAAAACGACAAGAAGCGCGCCAAGGCCAAAGCAGCGGCTATCGCCGCTGCAGCGGCCGAGGAGGCTGCTGCAAAGGCGGCTGCTCAGGCGGCCGCTCAGGCCGCTCAGGCGGCCGCTCTCGGACGGTACAGGTTGGTCAACGCTTGGTTCTATCCACGCGGCGACTGGTACACCTTCTACTGGGATGGCAGCTCGGCCGACAAGGTCGCAAGGCGCGCTACCTACCCGACGCTCGAGCACGACGACCACGACCCCGGCCCCCTCGCAGAGCGCATCAGGCGCGACAAGCGCGAGGCGTCCCACCGCTCCTCCGACGACTCCTCCTCCGACCGCGACTCGTGCGGCACCGGCTCCACTAGCGAGGCGAATGACATATTCGACACCCTCGAAGTACGAAGACCATCTCGGCTACGGTTCCGACTCCGGCTCCGGCTGGTAGTCGACAAGCTGCCGAGCGCAAATCACTCTGTGTGACACATTTCTTGTTGGCTTCTAAAAATCTCTCTCTCAGACTCAGGGAAACTCGCGAGTTTCCCGAGGGAAACTCGAGAGAAACAGAATGGAGCACCAAACACCCTCTGGTTTCCCTGGAAACTTCCGGAAACGCAAAGTGCTGGGGACCCTCTGGTTTCCCTCTGGGTTGCCGGAAACCCTCGGACAGGCCAACCCCCCGGGGGGGGGAGGGCGACCAAAGGCAAAGCAAGAAGGTGTGCTGACGCTGCATGCTGAAGCTGCACCCCAAGTCAAGCACGCCACCAGGCCTGCTCTATCCGTTCTCGTGCGTCGGCGGCCCAAACAACCAGTACAGGCAGCTCCTCGAGGCGGCGCTGGCGGCCAAGGCCTCTGGCCGAGCGCTCGTCCTCCCGCCATTCGTCAAGTGGAACCGCGACCAGAGCAGCCGCTACGCCTACAACTTCTCGTCCACCTTCGACGCGGCTGCGCTCTCACGCTTCGTGCCGACAGTGCCGGTGCGCGGCTTCCGCTTCAGCGACATCGGCGCCGTCGTATCCGCGGGTCACAATCCGAGCGCGGGCTTGTTCCGCACGCTCTGCTTTGCCGCAGAGGCACGGTGCGACGGCACAGCGCTCAAGGCGCGCGTCGTCTACGCCGCGACGTCCGCACAGCGCTGCAAGGCCCAGCCGCGCGGCACCGCCTTTGTGCGCTGCCTCCTCACGCCGTGGAACCGCCACAGCGCAGTCGGCTACGCTGGGTGGCAGAAGCTGGCGCCTTACTGGGGCGGGCTGCTGACGCCGGTGACGAGGCAGCTGTACGCGTCGCTGCGCCGGGCGCCTGGCGCCCGATCCAGCAGCTCGCCCACCCAGATCAGCCGAGATCAGCCGAGATGCAGCCGAGAGTAGGCGCCACACCTGGTCGGAGCTGCGCGAGCGCTCGTGGCGGCCCTCTTCCCGCAACTGCCGGGCACGGGGCGGCCGCTGCTCTGCGTGCACCTCCGCCGGGTGGAGGACAGCCAGAGGTGCCGTGCGCCGGGGCCAGGCCCTCCGCAGGTGTCCTGCCACCCTGGCTCGCCGCGCTTCGCGTCGACCGCTAGGCTCGCCACTGCAATCTCGCAGGCGCGTCTCTCTCTCTCTCTCCCTCTCTCTCTCTCTCTCTCTCTCTCTCTCTCGCTCCCTCCCTCCCTCCCACTCACCCACCCTCCCTCCCCCCCCTCCCTCCCTCCCTCCCCCCCCCCCCCCTCTCTCTCTCTCTCTCTCTCTCTCTCCCTCTCCCTCTCTCTCTCCCTCTCTCTCTCTCTCTCTCTCTCTCTCTCCCTCTCTCTCTCTCTCTCTCTAGACCGGACATGCCCGCGACACGTCCCCCGCAATCTCGCAGCTCCGGGCGCTGCTCGGCGACGCAGACGTCTACCTCGCCCGTGCCGCCGTCGGAGGCCCCTTCTCACGCGAGGGAGACCAGCCGAGTCTGCCCGAGATCGCCCGAGATCGCCCGAGATCGCCCGAGATTAGGCCCCTTCTCGCGCGAGGGAGACGAGCTTCGCCGCCTCGTGCCGCGGTTGCGCGCGCCCTCCCCGCGGGAGATTGCGGCGGCGCTCGGCGGCGGGCACGGCTGGGCGGCGGAGAACTACGCCGCCTCGCTGATCGAGCAAGAGGTGGGAGATCTGGGGAGATCTGGGGAGATCTGGGGAGATCACCTCCTCGATCCTCGAGCAAGAGGTGGCAGGACTGCTGCCGCTGTCTGAACACTTCGCCCCACCCACTGCACTCACCCCACCACCTCACTTCGCCTCGCCTCGCCTCGCCTCGCCACCAGGTGTGCTTCCGCGCAGACGCGTTCGCAGGCACGATCGACTCGACCTGGTCGCAGCTCGTCCTCCTGCAGCGCGCGGCGGCGGCGCCCGTCCGCTCGCCCGCCGTCGCCTCCGCCGTCGCCTCCGCCTCCTCCTCCGCCTCCTCCTCCGCCTCCTCCTCCTCTGCCTCCTCCGCCTCCTCTTCCGCCACTTCCGCCGCCTCCGCCACCTCCGCCGCCACCTCCGCTGGCTGCTCGACAAGCCTCGACCGCGCGATGCGGCCGCCCGGCGCGCCGTCCTAGATGAAAGCTGGATGGTGCCGGAGACATCTCGCCGTCGCCACCTGGCACGCGAGCTTGCACGAGCTTGCACGAGATTTTACGTCCTCCTGCGGCGCACTGCCCCCACGCCGTCTCCGCCGTCTCCGCGGTGCTCTCGCGTTAGAGCGCCCCGCGCCGCACATCACCTCAGCCGTCTCGAGTTCGCAGGCGACCCGCACCGTGACAACAACTTTGACATCCAAGCGCTCGTCGCACCCGTCTCCAGCGGCGCGGGATGGTCGGCGTGTGGCGGCGGCGGCGCCGCCAGCCGCACGCCTTTTCTGGCAGCGAGCAGATTGCGGAACGGCAGCGTCGGCACCACTCGGCACGCCACCTTGTCGCCCAGCCGAATACGGCTCCGGACTGCACTGCCTAGGCGAGTGGGTCACTAAAGGTAAAGCCGTAGGGAATCCCGTCACACAGACACCCCGCCCACCCGCCGCCCCCCTAGCCGCCCCCCCGCGCCCCCCGCGGGTTGTTGCACGAGTATATGGGCCACGATGTCTCAAATATGAGGGGTTTTGACTCCTACATCGATCTACCGGCTCCTGACGCTATCCCTGGCAGCTCTGATGACCAGGATCAGTAGTGTTGTGATGGAGGGTGCCCATACTAGCGCAGGAGCTGCCACACTCGCCCGGACCGTCCCCTTATGGGGCCGGTTCCGCAGCCCGCGAGAGCCGACAGCGGGGCCGTGCCGCGGGTGCCTACTGCCGAGTGCCACAAACACTGCGCCGTCCCGCCATCACCTACAGGCTGTCTTGTGTGATGGCTGGGATGTCCAAACGCCACCATCTTGGCTCTTGCGACCTCAAACCCGCGAGCTGTATGGGTGGTCCTGACGTCGACAGACGCCCGATGACCACGGTGAAGCTGAGATGGAACGAGTCGACAAGTCTCGTCTGAGCCCGTGGCGGTCGCCGGCTGAGTCGCCGTGCACGGGCCGGTACCTCAGGCGTCACCTCCGCAGCCTCAGGTCTCACACTCCATCACCTCCGCCGGGACGCTTTCGGTGGCACGCTCGGCGGCGAGTTTGTTGCAGCCCCACAGCGAGCACGGCGTCGAGCCTACTCGGTCTGGTCGGTCGGCCGCACTCCCTGGGTGCCAGGGAGTGCGGCCGACACGCGAGCGGTGCTTCCTGGCGGCGCGCGCCGGCTGTGGGGCTGCAACAAACTCCAGCCTCGCTTTTTTGGGACATTTTCGACGCTTTTGGCCCATATACTCGTGCAACAACCCCCGCCCCTTTTTAAATGAACTCGGGGGCCCGGGACGCGGCACAAAAAACGGGGCACAAACTGGGCACAAACCACAAACGAAAGGCTATACAAGCACGGGGAGGCACGTAGTGTGAGTGACGCAAGGCCAAGGCGGTTACTCGATCGTGTTCGACGATGTCGAACATTGTTCGACGACGTCACACGCAGCGCTTCGCTACACCGGCTCCGCCGTCAGCCATGCCGACGATGGCAGCGGACTAGCGGCCCTCCGACGTTTTGGCCGCGAGCCGGATGCGCCGTGCAAAGTGCCCAACACTCAGGTGCATGCACTAACTGCGGGGGCGGCGGGGGCCTCCGCCGTCGCCTTCTCGGCGGACGGCGCCCTGCTTGCGGCAGCGCTGGCCGACCCGTCGGGCCGCGCGCGGCTCGCTGTCTACCACGCGGCGTCGGGCGCGCTGCTGTGCGAGGCGCGCAAAGCCGCACGCGCTGCTACTGCTCTTGAGCCCGAACCTGACCCTGACCTGACTCTCGCCCGAGCCAGGCGCACGCGCACCACAAGCTCATCTACGGCCTCGACTGGGGGCCTGCCGCCGAGGAAGACAGCTCGGCCGGCACGCCCGCCACCGACGGCGCGGCAACAGTCGGCGCCCGGCTGATGTCTGTCTCGGGAGACGGCACGGCGAAGGTGTGGCTGCTCACGAGCCAGGATGGGGAGTCAGCGGGCGGGCTGGCTCTGGAGGCGACGCTGCACCACCCAACCTTTGTCTACTCGGGCCGCTTTCAGCCCCACGCCACCGCTGCCACGGGACCCGCGCGCCGCGGCGGCGGACGGCGCGAGGCTGGGGGCGGGGGCGGGCCGAGAGCGGTGCTCTTGCTCACCGGAGCGGCAGACGGGGGTATCCGGCTGTGGGATGGCCGCACTGGCGTGCTGGTCGGGTCGGCGGTGGGGCACGGCTCGCGCGTCAACGCGGTCGTATGGTCGGCTGACGGCGGCGGCTGCTACTCTGCCGACGCGCTCGGCGCCATCAAGTTTTGGGAGGCGGATTGGCGTGGCGCCGGCGGTGGTGGCGGGCTCAAATGCATCCAGACACTCAAGAAGGAGGGCGGCGCGGCGGTCGACTCGCTGAGCCTGCACCCATCCAAGCGGCGGCTGCTGGTGCAGCTGCGCAGCGGCGCGCTCATCGGGCTCGACACACGCACATACCACTTTTCGACGCGCTACGTCGGGCACAGCACCGGCGAGTATCACGTGCGGGCCGGCTATTCGCCCGACGGGCGGCTGGTCTTTAGCGGCGACGCGAAGGGAGGGCTCCACGTGTGGGTCGAGGAGACGGGCGCTGTGCTGCTCGAAGGCCGGGCCATCGGCCTGCTGGGCCCCCTCCTGCAGGTGGCTTGGAGCCCCGTCGAGCACCTGGTGGCCTGCGCCGCCTTTGGGCCCGGCAACGCGTTGATCACGCTCGCGCACGACTCGCGGCGGGAGAACTCGTCTGGCTGAAACGGGGCGAGGGAAATGCAGGCGGGTGTCGTCGGTAAGGTAAGCATCAACATTTTCGTGTAATGTTATACAGAGTCCCTCCTGTGCATATCTTGGCCTTACTCGCTAAAGTGTACACCTACGGCTCTATTGCAATGCAGGACGTTAGCTCCACTGCTGATAGTTATCTTGGTTGGGATAGCCGCCATCGTCCTGCGAGTAGCTGTCCGGCTGCGGATAAGCTACCTGCTGCGGATAGCCCCCTCCCTGGCTGGTGGGAGGGTCCCACTGCGCCTCGCCCGTGTTCGGATTGGAGTAGTACGCGTCGCCAGACTGCGGGTCGACTAGCTGCTGCCAAGGGTACGGCAAGTGCGACCCTCCCTGATGCATCACAGCTTCGTCTCTGCACACGAAGACCGCGCCCTCGGGGTCGTTGCAATCCAAGCTCACGAGGTCGCCGTCGAGGAGCGGCACCTGGTCGCCGCTCTCCAGGGCGACCCAATCCGCAAGGCCAGTCCGCCAGAGAGTCGGGCCCTTCCCGCACGAGGTGAGCTGAGCGACGCCGTCGTGGCACTGAACGATGCACTGCACCCGCGACACCGTCACTTTTGGGTTGAGCATGTTGAAGCGGCTCAGCGCCTGCACGTCGCCGTTCTTCAGCGCGTACTTGCACCAGTAGTGCACACCGGAGATCCCCTGCAAACGACACAGCACCGCGCCACCGTAATTCTGCTGGACGACCGGTGGTGGGTCGTACCGAAAGTCTCCGAGCTGCTCGTTAAAGTAGTACGCCTGGCCACCTTGGTCGACGCCCGTGATCCAGCCCTCCTGAGCCACGAGATTGCGGGTGCGGTGCGCGGCTCTGGCGGAGGGCGGTCGGAGGACCGCCGCAGCTCTGACGAGAGTGCGGTGCGCGGCTGCAGGCAGAATTAGTGTCAGCCACATGGAACGAGGCAACGTCGAAACAGCGGAAAGGATCTCGCAAGCCCACCTCAGTCGACCCACCTCAGTCGACCGTTGTGGGTTTACACTCTCTTGAGGGTGTGGTGTGGTGATGAGTGTGGGCTCGACGCGCGCGTCGCGAGCGTCTGACGCGGCGGGCGGCGTCGGGCAGGTGCGCTTCTCTCTCGGGTGGTGGTGGTGGTGCTGCTGCTGCTGCTGCTGGTGGTGCAGATGCTGCTGCTGGTGCGGCGCGGCTCTCCGACGCGACTCGATGCGCGCGTCGCGGCTATCTGACGCGGCGGGCGGCGTCGCGGGCGGCAGCGGTGACGGCTCGCGGGTGGAGGTGGAGGCTGGAGGCTGTGGTGGGTCTTTGAGTTTACTTCATGATGTACTACGAGGACTAGTGATGCTGCTCCTGATGCCCCCCCCCCCAGGTGCAACTTTTGCATTTGGTAAAAGTTGCCCGAGAGGTCAGTGGGGAAAAAACCAAAGCGGAAAGGTGGCCCCAAGAGCTAAAGGTCAACATCCCCTCCGGCTACGACAACGCGAACCTGATCTGGTCCTCACGGGGTTGACCCGTCTCCTCCAGATCGAGACGGACTTCATGAACGGCCGAGCAATTTTTCTTCATTCCTATTATTAATTAATGCTTTTTGCACGGCTGAGCCCCCCCCCCCCCCCCCTCCCCCGCGCCCATTCCCTGTGCCCTCTCCCGCCACACACTCCGTCAGAGCCCCCTCCCCTCTTGCACAACAGGAATTTTGACAATTAACCAGATGGGAAATTGATGGGCTTGCCCATCCCGGAGTGGTTCGATCCCACGCAAACCCGAGACGGTGACGGGTGTTGTCTCGATGATCTCAGGCCCAGTGAGGTAGTGCGTCAGACCTGTCCCGGATCCTGCTGAACAAGCTCCTCTTGTAGCTCGATCGGTCACACCGCCATCGCCGTCGGGGAGAGGGGGGACGACACTGCTTTGGCAGCGTGCACCTCGATCCTGTACCGGGTTTGTTATGACCCCCCCCAATGAACACACCAGTGAGGGAGGGCGAGACGATCGAGGGGTCCCGTACCATGCGGAACCGACCCTATCCAGTGCTCAAGTGCTCAAGACGGCAACGCCTTCCCTCGCTGCACGCGCGAGCGCGTCGTGCGCCGCTGGGACGTAGTCGGGATAGCCAACGATGGCCATCCGGCCCGAGGCGGACTGGCGGGCAATGATGGTGTCGACGATGGAATACATAGTCATGGGTGCTAACTTTGAATCGAGGTCGAAGCAGGTGAAGGAGCTGTAGTTGCTGATGATGGTCGCTGATGGGACGGAGATGGCAGCCGTCTCGGCCAACGCTACTAGAAAGCCGTCCTCGGCACACATTGGGGCAAGTCGGTGTTGAGGATATTGCGTCGCCTACACTCAGCTGCGCCAGGGAGGACCCTAGCTGAACTCGAGGCGATGCCCTGGGTGCTGCGGAAGGCGCCGGGAGCACAGGGGCGGCCCGCGACGGCACGCCAGCCCTGCTGGCGGAGGGGCCCGTGGCGGAAGCTTCGCGCGCCCGGGCGGAGGCCGATCTCGCTAGGCATCAAGCTGCGGCGGCGCGACGAGCGGGGGAGAGCCGATGGCGGGCGAAGCAGAGAGAGCGATAAGGATCTGGTGGTGGCGGGCGATCTGGCGCGAGGTGGAGACCGCTCGAGCCAGAGTGCAGCAGATCGCGCGGATCGTCGCAAAGGGGCAGTGGCGAGGGCGGTACCCGGAGGTGCTCATCGTGGAGCATGCGACGCTGCTGATGGAGCTGCTCTACAACCAGTTGGAGGCGCAGCACCCGACGGCCCCCTGCTGGGGAGGCAAGCACACCCCGGTGGACGATGTGCCGCTCGTCGCACTAGCGAGCGGCCTCGCGGGTAAGGTGGAGGAGCTGTTCCACACCGGCTACGTGGGAACGGTTGACCGCGGCGCGCGTTGCATCCTGCGGGGAGCGGCCGAGCCGTCGGAGCTTCCGCCGCCGAGGATCACCGGGCCGCTGCTGCGACCGAGGGAGCAGCCGCCGCCGGAGCTGCTGCCAGGAGGAGCGTCGTCGAGCGATGGAGCTACCTCGAGGCGCTTCGGCGAATGGCCGGCTCGCTGCGCGCAGATGCTACGATTGCGAGGAGTGCTGCTCACAATCCTTCGACTTCTGTAGCAATCTCTGTACGATTGCTAGCACCTAAATCCGACATCTTCTAGGACTAAGAGCAGCTCCGCTCCCAAGGTGACTGGTGACGCCTACGACTACTACCATCGCGCTCGCAATCCGAGCAAAGTCTAGCTACTCGAGTAGGTAGGGTTGCGTGCGAGCAGCACGGCTCACTCACTCACAATCCTAGCAACATGCCTCCGATTGCGAGCAGTAGCGCTCGCAGTCCTAGAACTTCTAACGATTGTGAGCGGCTGCGCTCAGAACCGAACAAAGATCCTTGCTAGAACGCTCGAAAGAAAGAAAGAAAACAGACAACCAAGGCGCAAGGGAGGGATGGGAGGACGGCACGCCGCCACCACACAGGGATTTTAAGGAGAGGAGTGTGGTGCTAGCCGTCGCCCACCCTAACCCTTGGTCGTCTGCCTCTTTCTATCTCCCTTCGCAGTCCCTCGCCGATTCTCGCTGCAACCTTCTTGGCGAATGATTCTTCCCGCGACGACTCCCGGCTATTCCAGCACCACGCAGCACGTGATCGGCGCGGCGTGATCCTCCGTTCGCTCGGCTTCGTGTGGCCCTTGGCTGTGATGGGATACGGCGACGCGAGCGCCAAGTCGAAGAAGGCTGACAAAGCCGCGGCCGCCGAAGAGGCATCAGCCTCCCGTCCGATGCCGGAGCAGCCCAGCCAGTCGTCTCGGCGCGACCGTCCTGGCGTACCGCGTCCGCCACCGCACACCCACAACACGGCCAACGGCGCTTGCTCCGACCTTGTTTGACCGGCCCTGATCTGCTGCGCCAGGCGTCGCAGAGGGCGAAGGAGGACGACGCGTGGGCGGAGGGCGCCAAGGGGCAGAACAAGAAGAAGGCGGCCGAGGAGGAGAAGAAGGTGAGCGCTATCCCGGCACTGTCCCCAAACTCCCGCTGTCCCGTGCGCAGCGCTCAGTTTGCGAGCGCCGTATCCCGCGTCGCAGGCGGCGGCGGCGGAGCGGAAGGCGGCGGCGCGGGCGCAGGAGGAGGAGGAGAATGCGGAGCTCGCCAAGCCCAAGGGCGGCGGCAAGGACGGCAAGAAGAAGGCGGGGGGGTCGTCCAAGATGACGCGCGCCGAGATCGCGGCCAAGGCGATGGCGGCGATGGAGGAGCAGAAGAAGGCGGAGAAGAAGAAGCAGAAGCAGATTGAGGCGACGGGAGGGAACGAGTACATTGGCGCGGTGCACGAAAACACCAACCGGGCAGAGGGCGTCGACGCGTCGGGTGAGAG